TAACTTTCTTCTATTTTCCAACATTTTCTAGCCTCTGGTTATTCCAGCTCGTATCAACATGGAAAAAAAGAATTGGTCCCCAGCCCCTCAGGGCTCCCTAACATCCCATCAGCATGAGGAGGAAAGGCTTTTGTCCTTCCACTGTGGAGGGGAGGAGATGGGAGGAACAGGACTGAGGAGTAGCTCTGCTCTGACGAGGGCTGAGTATCTGTCAGAAAGGACCCGGCTGCATCTATTGAGTAGAAGCAGCAACTTAATCCTGTCCTTTCAACCTGACCGGTACGAGTTTATGGCCGAGATGTTAACCACCCTTGGCATAAAAAATTAAAACAGTAGTAGAACTAAAAAAAAAATAAGGAAACGGACAGGGTTTGCCCCAAGAAGTACCTCACAGTGTCACACAAAATGATCGCACCTTTCAGCACCAAGCCACCACCCCCTGAGGGTCTGACCAGAACCAAACCCAAGTATTGCTGTGGGAGGGGGTCACAATGCTCCATGAGAGGCTGTGACTCCATCCATCCCATCAGCCCTGAGTATATTCACGATGGGACTTGGGTCAGACTGGGCTTGGCCTTTCCAAGGGATTTAATTAGCAGTTAAAGAAACAACAGTCTGCCTGGTTGAAGCACATTTGGAGAGTTACCTTGCTGTCTTCCCCAGTAATAAACTGCTCTTGGCTAAGGTCATCCTTCATCCGCACAGTAAATAAAACTGTCAACTAAAGTTGAGTTTCTGTTTCTCATCAGTCAAGCAATACAATAAAACTCCGAGCAGCATATTTGGACAATGATTTTGAGAGAGAAAGCAAACCTTAAGGAAGTTTTACTATAATCATTTCCTCTCGGTTGATCAACATAACAGACCCAGCAACTTAGCTGGGGAAATGTGATACAAAGCTTATAAGCCTCATAATCAGATTGCCTTGAGAGACAAAAATCAAGCTGGTTTTCCAGACCTCACCATAGCCATTAAATACTTACCGTCTCTTCACTTAACATCTAAAGAACATCTAAGCAAAAATCCAGTAGTTTTAATTTAAAAAACCAGCCTCCTCTATCTTGCCTACTTAACTCTAGCTCTATCATGTAGGAAGTTTTACTGCTGTCAAGCAACGTTTCTCACGTTTTTAAGAAGGAATTCAACTGGAAATATTTAAATATTTTCAACATGCTGCTTATTTTTATCTAGAGGAAGATAAATTATTACATGCATGTAAGCAGTAAAAGCAGTTGCCAGAAAAAACAGGGTTTATTCCCACCATACCTGCAATACATCAACCCCTACATGAAAATCTTTCTCTTTCCAAAACAATCAGCCTAATTTGTAGTGAGCTCACACAGACTTTCACAGGACTGCTCTGCTGCAGATTATTACTTGCCTAAAATACGGTGGGTACATTTCTCCAGTACATGAACAAACAGTATTGTTTGAGAGGGGGAAAAACAGTTAGAAATATTATACCCTTTACTCTGTGATCCTCACAAACACCAGATAATCCTACACCAGTCAAAACACAATGATTCAAGCTGCCAAAACTAGTATTTACTTTTCCCAATATTCTGACAGTGTTTTACATAAACAGGAGAGCAGACCTGGTACGGTCTGAAACCAGACTACAGCTCTGTCGCTCCTTTCATACCCGTTCTCTCCCAGGACATTCCACTTCTTAAAGCCCAGCACGTCGGCAGAGCCTTTATAAAAGAAGATGCATACCTTGATCTCTCCAGGGCTTAAGAGGTTGTATCTTTTGTTGGTTCATATTTTTTGAACAGATGGAGTAAAACCTCCATTTTCCCTTACTGTAACATAAAAGATAGACAATAGCACATGGAAAAGGCTAGAAAAACTCTGCTGTCAGGTCCACCTCACCACACCTGTTAGCACAATCTAGAATTTACTTCCACAGTTGGAAAAATGCATTTTTTTTTCTTTATGCATGAATCTACCTGCACAATCAGTCAACGGATCTTCCATTAGTCCTAGTTCTCTTCTGGGGAAGACCAGCTGCCCATCAGCTTCAGCAGCCTCTCTCCTGCTGTCCTGTGTGTTGGAGCTAAACATGCACGTTGACTCAAGGTACTGAGAGCTCCGACAAATCACCATCCACAAACCACTACCCAGCGCAAGCCCCAAGTCATCAAAACGATGACTGACCCACCCAACTCCAAGTTCATGGAGCTTTCAATTCCTTCTCCTTCTGCTCCACTGGTGAGAGAATAGCTTGTCCAATTTCTTGCGAAACAAGTGCCAGAGATAGGAATATTTAGAAGGAATTAGTATCTTTCTATCCAAACCCAAACATTCCAAAATCATGACTCACAATCCTCTCACAAATCATGGGATTAAATTAACATGTCATGGGATTTTGCAAGATGCTGTCTTCAAAATTATGGAATACCATATACTTTGTGTAACTCATAATTTGAAAATATTTACACAGTCAAAAACTACAAAGTTTTTATCAACAGTTAAAAGAGCCAGAAGCTTACCTAGAGAGGGGAAAAAAAAAAAAAAAAAAAAGTCATCACATATTCATAAGATTCCTGGAGGCTGGACCTCTAAAAATAGTCCAAATGTTACAATTCAGCACATGCAAATTTATGAGACTTGGCAACAATGCAGTTGTCTCCAGGGATGGTGGAAGAGAGGGAGTACTCTTGGTTAACCTTTTTTTTTAAAAAAAAAAAAACAGATACAGCATGCTGAAAGTGCCCTACTAAGTATCTCCTAAATAAGCCCATTGATTAATTTAGAGCACTATGGAAACACGCGGCGCAGCGTTCTTATCAACACCCAGTCACTAAATATTTTGACATTTGTTAACCAAAACTAGATGCATTCTGGAAAAATACAACTGGAAAATAAAAACTACAATTTTCTAAAGCATGCCCTTTCCATGCCTAGAGCAAATCAGAAGTGAGAAGCCAGGTTCAATAAAAAGTGGAGGAGAACAGACCAGTTTTGGAGTGGCCAGTCACTTTTTTTGTTAAAGGCAAGGAGAATTTCATGGGAAAAAAACCCTGTACAGTGTAGTGAGTTTTTTCCAAAATAAAAGCTAACCTTTAATCAATTTTACAGATCAAAAGATGGTGGCTAGAAGGGAAGATTACTGCTCTTTGCATTTTTTCCTTATTTTAAAACTTTAAATATGAAACATCATGACTATTCGTACCTATCACCGACACCTGCTGTTCCATGGTCAGCGCCACGTCCCCGCCCAGCCTGTGTGAATTCAGCCTCAGTTTTCCTTTTTAATCCCACGGTGCAGGCTGATGGCTATTATTATTTTGTGCCACTGTACCAGCGCCTCCCAACTTCAGTCCTGATGCGAGCACACGGCGCAGGTGAGGTGACACAGACGCAGAGGCGCGGTGGCATCACACAACACGTGGAGCTTTGCTGCTGGTCACGGCGGGCAGCCCGCGAGCAGCCCCGCCGGCAGCTCCACGAGAAGCCACGCAGCACGGCACCGCATTTCAGAGAGGTGTTTGCAGATCCTGCTGTCAGAGCCTTCCTCTAGCAGGTACCGCATGCCAATAACTGGAGCTGAGCTACAATTTATGCTGTTCTGTGTACCAGACTCCCACTCCCGAGGAATATTTACCATCCAAAAACAAAAATACTGCCATAAGGTGTGAACGAAATCAAGTGCCTTTTGTTTAAGAGGAAACACAGTGACTGGCTGATATTTTCCAACACTGCAATAATTTTATAAACATCTATTAACAGAGCAACTTCCACCCTGTGACACTGAGATTGTGGCACTCGCACACCTGAGTCCCCCAGCTCTGCTCCACCAAGGGTACAAGCCAACCAGGAGAGCCCAACACTGCAATGCACCAGTCACAAAATTCCTGGGTCATTTTGATGACCAAAGTGGAGGAAAAAAGTTAGTTGAAAGCTATTGCTTCCTGCCTTTTTTTCTCCCCATTCCAAACTGAACATTGAGACATGTATATTGTTCGCTTGGCCCTAATTTCACTGCCCCATCCCTGTGACTACCTGTTCCTCCAAGTGGTTTCTGGGGATTACCATTTGCAAGAATAATGGCAGAGTTTTTATATCAGGTACCATACTCTTTAATCCTCTGAAAATTATTAAGGTAGCATAGTAGAGGGATGGGGATCACTGGGAAGATTTCTACAAAGGACAATTTAACACATTGTATTATACTTAAAAACATATTTTACTGCAATAAGATAATAGCAGGGTATGAGTGGCAAATAACTCTGCAGTTTAGTGCACACATTCAGAACAAAAAATGTAGCTTTTTTGTTGTTTCCACTCAAACGACCCAGTTAATCTCAGTATAACATTAGCTGTCAAAACATCCACTTAGATTTGTGTCCTTTATTTATTCAGCAAAAAAGGTGCAACATCCAAATGGTTACCAGATAAAGAGGAAACACTACATAGAACGGGTGTTTATGTTTAGCTCCTGTTATTCTATCACTGTCACATGGGTAGTATGTTAAATTCCACACTTAGAAACACACCAGTAGATCAAGAAAGTTTGCGTTCGTATCTGAAGACACCATTATTCCCTGTTGGGATTAAATCCACCCCAGCGACGACACCGTCAAGCCCACGTAACACCCCAGCCTTGGTGTGTCCTTGCTGCATCCTTCCAACACAGCCCATGACAAGCCAGCACCTGACCCCAGCGCACACGAGCACCTCTGCACCATCCACCATCCCCCTTCCTCTGCCCTGACCTGGGGACTCAGTGGGACACACGACTTCATGCTGGCTGTCTCCAGAGCCAAGGAAGCTCTTTAAAGCCCACACAGCCCCTCCATCCTGGAGATGGTTTTTGCAGCTGCAACGTGTGCTTACCCCAGGTACAGCATTCAACCCCTTCCCTGCCGTTTGACCCACAGAGAGAGAAGAACACATTTTCATTCTCAAGGATAAAAAGGCCAGCGACAGCAGATCACCTTGGCTACGTGCCTTCAGCTCCATTTCTACATCAGCTGACATCAACATCTCTGCCTTACCTTTATACAGGGTATCCGTGTCCTCCATCGGAAGCTGCCTCTTGGCAGCTGCTCTGCGATAGACCACGTGCGTCCTGCCTGCTCCCTCCTCCTCCTCCTGGGCCCCCTTCTCCAGAGGTTCGATGAAGAACTCGTCCTTGTCTGTGCGGATCATGCCAGCCTGCAGCGACAGGGCAGAGATCGAACATTCTGCGTTACTGCACGTAGAGCAGCCGTTGCGAGTAAACAGTTACAATATGCTTAAGCACACTTTACTGCTCTCTAGAGAGCAATTAGGATGCAGAGAGGAAACCAGGTGAATTCTTTATTAGAGCAAAACCAAGCATCATTGCCCCGACTTGACAAGAAAGGACAAAAAGTACAACCCTGAACCAAAAGGACTTCTCAAACCACACGAGCAGAGTACAGGTCTGAGCATCTGTCTAGGAAATACTCTCTCCATTAGAAACCAGCTACAATGAAAGCTACTATGACCTTAGCTATCTGGCAGCCCCAGACCGCTCCGGTGTTTACTATTTCTGCAAAATAAAGGATCGGTTCTGCACCATAAGCTGGTCCTGATGTGCACTTCGACAGTCAAAACATGTAGAATCATCCTTTCTGCTCAGAAGCAAGATGGAAAAGTACTATGCCTTACATGCAGGCAATGAAGCCTTGCAATTATTTCCCCCTTGACACAAAAGGTTCCACTGACACAACATTCTTTCAAGAATTACCCACAGCCGGTTTTAAAAAGGTGTCAGTAGTGTGTTGCTAAGAGATAAAAACTTATTCAGACTGGACCAGATACCCTGGTATGAAAAAAAGAGAAATTTGCACTTCTACAGCGCACCTCAAAGGAACATCACCCCAGCGATTCGCCCTGTGTTCAGGGGAAACCCTCATAAAGACTCAAAACTTTAAAAGAAAAAAGTCATTTCATCATCTTCATGCAGGTAGAACAACTCGGGCACCAGACCGGCTGCATTTGTCTCCTCTTGCGGTCCTGCCCCACTGCAGAGGGTCACAGCAGCCAGTGGCTGGCTTGCAGAGACAGTTGGCTTGCATGAATTTTTCTCTGTATGTTTGCACATCTGTGTTTGAGAACTTAAATTAATGAATTCCTAGCTTGTAAACAGGAAGTGTTACGTTCATGTGAAAGAAATTCTTTACATTATTTTTGAGAGAAGCCCCAAATCTGACCTTCAGCAACTCCTTCATCACGTTCTTTCCCACTCTTCCCACCAATGATCCCAGAGTCACTGGACTTTCACATTGGGCACAGGAGGACATTCTGACACTGTGACACACTTCATCTTGTTATCCAAGCTTCTGGGAGCCTAAATCCTTTGCTGGGTGAAGCCCTACCTCAAGTTTCCAAGAGAAACAGTTTGGCTCCTTGAAGTCAGTATCCTCACCTGAAACAAGCATCATCTAAACACTCCTATCATAGCCCAGCACAATGCATATTTTTCTTCTACAAGCAGCAAACTATATTCCCACTGCTATAAATACAGTATGTTCTTTGGTTCCCTCCTTGGAAAAATGTCAGGTTCATTTGTCATGTCTTAACTTACATTAGGCAAGATTTCCAGTCCCAGATTTCATATATATAATGTATACAAAAACAGATTGAAGGGGAAGGATTAAAGAGGCAAAATCATATCGAAGCAATTTAAACTGATGCCATCCTGCCTGTGTAGAGGAAACTGAATTTGAAATCCTGTCTTGTTTCTTCTTATCTAATTTAGATTCTACATCAGACACGAAAAAAGGTGAGACAGGCTCAGCAGCTGAAGGAAGGTAAGACAACCAAGAAAATAAGTGCTGAACCCAGAGAGACAGCAACCGATCTTTTACGGTAAAAAGGAATACATGAAGAATTCAGAATTGATGCTATTCTCCATTTAATGTATATTTTAATTGTATACACACACAACTCCTCTGGATATTAAATATTATATCCAGAAATTTTAAAGTCTTTTTATGAGAAATGCACAACAGGAGATCAGGAAGGAACAGGCATTTGCATGCTCAGCTGCACAGGATACGATGCACACACCACACATACGCCCAGGAGAAATACACAGAGAGCTTGACTGTCGTGAAAAAAATGTGATTTTGCTTTTTGCAAGGAAGCTATATGGTGGCACACACGTTCATATGTATTTCTGGATTTATTAAAACTACTATTAGCAAAGCAGCTGATCTTAGTTTGAAATGCAGACCACCCTTCAGGACCCTGGGGTAAACACCGCTGTACGCTGTATACAGCAGGGGTACCAATGGGAGTGTGCAGAAATTCAGAGCTTCTGAGGAGTTGCCTACCTGTTAATTTTCTACAATGAGCAGCTGAACTGACTAGACAGCAGAACAACTTTCATAGGTGAACTTTAGCTTCCAGGGCATGGTGGCCTTTTGGAAAAGAAAACATCTGTTCAGAGTGAAGACCCCCCCTGAAAAGATGAAGGTGACACCCTGGGACAGGCTGTAAGACCAAACACAGGAGATCTTTGAATGCTGGTTCCCAAGCCCCAAACCAGTGGTCAGACACCGATGCCTGGTGCTGGTCCTTTTGCACACAGGGGAATTCGGGTGGCACTGAATACTGTCAGACAGCAGGCCATCCATCAGGTGCTCTTATTTCACACTCTGCTTCTCGGATAGACACGACACCTCTCTGTACATCCCCACGGCAGCACCCTCCCGAATTCTGTTGGAGCGTAGAACGGAAGGAATTTAACCTTCAAACAGGGCTGGATGTTTCTTTTCTCATTTTGATCTTGGACTAAAATAACTTTGTCTCTTACACTGGAATTTCTCTTTTCCTTTAGCCCTAAGAAACACATCAATTCTTTTTGGTCAGAATTATCAGGAA